TGCCGTCTTACCTGATTTCCAACTCTTGTCTCCCTAACCCTAACCAGAGGAAATGGTGGGGACTGGCTGCACATGCGGTTAAATATTTTTTGGGGAGGTCTTATTTTCAGGGTACTATCTACAACAGAACAAAATCATTTTTCCAAACAGGTAATCATGCGTTATCCCTATCTCTCTTTAAGAGAGCCTTATTCTTTTGCCTTGGTTCAGTCCATTATCTTGCCCAGATTCAAGTTCTAAATGCAATTAATGTACATCCTTTTACGATTTTGAAGCATGCAAGCTGTTTATGAAAACGTGGGCATTAAGAAACTATCAAAAGAATTTCCAAAGAAATATGAAATCCATCCGTGAATATCTATGGGCAATGATAGCTTCATCTAAAAGTTTTATTATAATTAAAAGAAGAGAAATTCTTGCATAAATGAGATGTATTTATTTTCCTTCAACTCCTTGACTGACATTTTTAGAACACTCTCTTTTCTCTAGGGAAGTTTCAATCAGTATTCATGAGAATTCAAGTCACAATAAAATTAACCTTTAATATATCCTAGGTTATTGGGCCACTTGACTTAGTCCAAGAGCTCCTTAACCTTGTACATTAACTGTATGTGAGCTTATTCTTATTATATGATGTGGATGAAAATACTTTGAATGATCTCAGTTGCACAATTCCTCCTTGAAAAACAGGAAGGGGAGGATATCATATAATAAAGGAAATGAGAAACGAACAAAAATCATATTGGTTAGCTCTGTGTTCAGGCTGTGAATGCAGCGAAACTAATTGGTACATGAACACTGAAAACAAATGATAATGCCAGTATCATTTCCATCCCCATAGCAGTTGTATTTATTTTTGCATATATCAATTTATATTACCAATGTGATTCTGGATAGCAAAAAATAATTAAAATGCATGTATATTAAAAATAAATAAAAAACGCCCTTCTGACACCTTAATACAAAGGGGTTCCCAAGCATACAATTCACCAATAGTGTGGGCCCAATTACTCAAATCCCCATGTCTGTGTAAACAGTCAGATGCTCTTTGGCATTCTGAAAACAGAGCCAGAAAAGGATGGGAAGAAATAACGTTAAAAGCCAAGAGGGATACAAATTTGTCAGAAACATGACTTGTGAGGGAAGAATGATAAATAAGGATATTTCCCTCAAACATAGAATAGAAAGTTGGAACATAATGAACAGAAACAAATGTTTACATATCACAGAGAAACTCTCTACACTTACACTTCAGAAACAGAGAAAGACTTTGCTTTCTGTGTGGTCATTGCTTGCTTTTTCTCTAATGTTTATCCCTTTCCCAGAACATCACAAATTTCAAGGTCAGCCTAAAGTCAAGATCTAAATATAAAAATTCATAGAAAAGAAGCAGTGAAAAATGCCTCTTGATTTTCCCAGTTCTGGAACATGCAAAGCTAAATATATCCCCATAACAAGATACTTAGAATGTAATATAACACACGCGCAGACCACACTTTTTGTTGGCATATAGGCCAATCTTCCTACATCTGGAGACTTGAGACTCCTATAATTGCTATTTTAACATTTCTGGAGGATACTCAATTGGACGAGTCTGCTTATTAATATTACTATCATAGCAAAATCACACCATTTCCTTAGTGATCCCTTTTCTTTACACATGTAGTCCTCAACTCACAATCATCCATTTGAAGCTACACCAGCACTGAAAAAAGTGATTTACAACTGGTCCTTATATTTACAACTTACACAGCATCCCCTTGATCACATGAGTGTTTGGCAACTGGCATATTTCTGATGTTGTGTCCAGGGTTGTGTAATTGCCTTTCCCTTCCCAACTTTGCTTTCGACAAGCAAAGTCAATGGGAGAAGCTGAATTCACTTAATGACTGCATGATTCACTTAGCAACTGCAATGATTCTCTTAACCATGGCAAAAGATCATTACATTGGGTTTGACTCACTTAATAACTGCCTTGCTTAGCTTGCTTAGAAAATCTGCTCCCAATTGTCGTTATAAGTAGATGACTACCTGTACTTATCTTGAGGAGAAAATTCCTACAATGTCAAAATTATCAAAAGGAAGCCTCATGGCTAACATTTGAAGACTGTTCCTAGGTACTAATTAGGATTCAGGTTTGATATTATTAATATCAAGTTCAGTAATTTGTTATTGGTTGCTGAACTATAGCTGCTCTCCGTATCTTTGACCAAACCATCTTAATTCCAGAAAATTTATATAATAAAGAATTCCAGTATGATATTTTTCATATGTAAGTTTAATAAACACATTGGCAATGTCTAGTTAGCAAACATCTCCATTACCTGGAGCAATCTGGAGAATGGAAAGCAATGAAGTACACTTCAATGTAGTACATAGCAAAGTACACTTCATTGCTCCAAATGATATATCACAGAGGGCATCATCTCCCATTTTAGAAAATAAGATGCATGGGAAAACAAAACCAGGAAAATAATTTAGAAAAAAACAATAAAAGCACAATTATCACTAAATAGTCAGAGGTTGGGAAACAACAAATCATGGGAAATCTCCGGTTTGCATCCAGATCATAAATACTCCAGTTGAATGCTCTTCTCATGCCATTCTGGAGCACAAGATCAGGGGGAAAAAAGAAGCTTACACATGAAAAATAACTATATATGTATATGTATTTAAGACTTAGGCTGAATTGTATGTAATATTAAACTTTAGAAATGTACTAGGGTTTATTTATTTGCTTTTGATGTCCCAAAATGGATGATGAAATTATGTGGCCTCTTTTTTCCTGGCACCAACCTCTCCATTAAAAGTCTGATAAGGCATGTCATTTTCTATAAAGACTTCTAAAATCTATTTACAGAAAAAAAAAATCTCTAAAATTATTCTGACCTACTAGTTTGAAATTCTGAAATGTAAAGCTAGCTGACCTTCAAGTTGACAAAATTATGCCAGGCAATTTTCATCTGAATTTGAGGCAAACACTTGATGACACAAATGCCCAAAGTCCTAAACATCTGCACAAAGCATTTCCCAAGATATATACTATGTTGTGAATCTCCCTTGACAACATCCAGATTTTACACTCAGACCTCAGATTTCTGATGCTCAACTGAATATTATTCTCTAGAAAGTTGCTCAATCTCCCAGGTGCTCTGATTCTGGCAGTCATCAGCAGCAGCTTTCTCCTGCTATCCTGTTTCAACCAGTATCAGACTAGTCTTGACTGAAAACCTTAATGAGGTTTTGATCCCATCAACAAGTCACAATAATTCATCCCCAGTGCCTACCCTGGGATAAGGAAAAAGGCTGACGCAAGAATTTCAAGTGATGTGTGCTTAAGAGTGTGATGCGAGAAGGGTGCCATTTGCTTCACTCACGCTCTGGTCTGTCAGCACTGTCATTAGACCTACTAGTTTCCTGAGAACAATAATTCTTTCCTCCCACAAGTACAAACTGCTTTAGACTGAATCCTGGCACAAAGTTTGGTCCCAAGAGGACACTATACAAGCCATTCATTTGATTTGCTCCCACTGCTTCAGCTCCCAGCCATTTCAAGAATAGTAGTTTCTGATTTTAACTGAAGAAAATCCAACATAAAACCCTAGATTAACATAGCTCTATAGTGATGATACAAACTGACAACAACTTGGAAATACAAAACAAAGACTGCCCAAAGACATTCAGTCATCCTGTACTACAATTCTCCATGCTGATATTTCTTGGCTAAAATACTCAGCCTATGAAAATAAAATAACCCACATAGAGATCCATAATCTACCCTCTGCAGAAAAGTGATCCTGTAAATCTATTATTAGTGAGTAATCCTGTTTCCATCTGTACTTCCAATCACTTCCACAGTCAATATTTCTTAAAAAAAGAAGAAGAAGAAGAAGAAGAAGCACAGCGATTATTTGTCACCTTTCTAGGAAGGATGCCTCTCCAATAGGAAGGCAAATATGTATAAAAGGTGAGGTACCAGTGGTGGGTTTCAAAATTTTTACTACTACTGTGGGTGTGGCTTGGTGGGTGTGGCAGGGAAAGGATACTGTAAAATCTCCCTTCCCACCCCACTCCAGGGGAAGGATACTGCAAAGTTCCCATTTCATCTCGATCAGCTGGGACTCGGGAGGCAGAGAATAGATGGGGGTGGGGCCAGTCAGAATTTTTACTACCAGTTCTCCAAACAACTTAAAATTTCCGCTACGGGTTCTCCAGAACTGGTCAGAACCTGCTGAAACCCACCTCTGTGAGGTACCTACATATCTTGGCCATGGTTAAAGAATGTGGACTAATTATGTGCAAGGATAGAATAGAATAGACTTTTTTATTGGCCAAGTATGATTGGACACACAAGGAATTTGTCTTGATGCATATGCACTCAGTGTACATAAAAGAAAAGATACGTTATGGGATTTGGGAATAGCATGCTCATACTTCAGTGAGTCTCCTTTCAATACAACTAAATATTGTACTATATAAATAATAAAATATTTCACCTTTTATGGAACTTTTATATTTAATTACATTCTACTCTGTTCCTTTTTGTGGTATGAAGACAGATAGACTGCATTTATCTACTAAACACTGTCTTAAATATCATGTTTAACAAGGCAGACTTCATGGAGAACCATTCCAGCATTTTTTATGGAATACTAAAACAAAGGATACTATCACCTGAATTGGTATACTTTGTGTTGAATAATTTCCTGTCTTCAAGTTCCTTCCATAAATTACAACTTTTATGAGAGGCAAATTTGTTTCCAATTATATCATTGTCAACATCCTTTTTACTCACCTTTCTTAAGTGGCTACAGAAGGTTGAAAATATAAAATAGTACTCTGTTTAGGACAATTTTGTATTACTTTATACAAATTCTGTAAAAGAAAGAAATTTAAAATATGCCCAAAAAGGAGAATTCAAATTTCTTTAATATACAAGTCCATAAATTCTAAAGGTAATATACAGAACACAAACATAGTGGATTAACATGTTATCCTACCTTGTCCTTTAATCCCAAAAGGTGGAAGAAAATCCCGAATCCTTGTCCATTTCCTGAAGGAATCATCCAAAAACATCGGTGCTGGCTTGGAGAATCTATAAATATAATGAACAGAATGCTTTTATAAAAGAAAAGAAAAGAAAATGAAAACCAAAGCTTCAAGGAAAAGAAAGAGTTTTACAATCTTAGTGTTGTATAAAATAAAAAATTCAGAACAAAAGGAATTTATAGCTCTATTCAACATTATCCTGGAAATGAGTGTGAGTAAGCATTTTAATATTATTTAGAGCAAATAGGCAATTCAAAGTCTATAATGGTGGTACTCATCTAATCAGGAGCAATAGAGAGTATGTAATCACATCATTCTATTACACCATGTTATTTTAACTACAATTTGTTGAGCAAGCTATTGTGATCTGTTTCACAGATAATGCTCACAATTGTTCTAAGATAAGATAAAATTCTATTATCACTTATCATATTTGAAGTTAGCCAGAAATTAAAAGTGTGTAAGAAAGTGTACTGCTTAGAATACAAAGCATTCTTATGTATTAAGTGTACTTACCAGTTTGAATACAAATAAAAGAGTAGAGCACATAACAGGCTACCCAGCTGTATCAGGACACATTAAAAGGTCAACACCCATCCCCCATCATGTTTCCAAATCTATGTGTATGAGAAGTGCCTGCTTCCAACTTTTACCTCTACTATGAAATCCACTGTGTAGTCATAAACAAACAACTACCACTCAATCTCCCATCTGTAGGAATGCTATTTCAAGATTCTGGTTAGGTTTATAACAAGATAATGAATCACATACTTTCAACATAGCGAAATACTATACACATGGAAAATATTAGTATTTTAAAATTTCTGACAACAGTAGCCATTTTTTATGTTTACTGAATTTAGAAGGAAAAAAATCAACAGTTTCTACTAGAGCAGCACATCACTATAAAATGACTAAAAGAAAACTATACTTTATATAATGTACTTGGGAAATATTTTCCTCAGGATATAATTGTACAGGTTAAACTTTGTTATCTCCAGCAGTGGTGTGCTCTTCTTCATTCTCTCTCATTCCCACACACACACATGCTCTCTACAGTATCCTGTTTTTGCTGCTCACATCCTTTCATTTCTTCTTTTTATATCAATAAAAATGTGTCAGACTAATTGAAGCTTTTTAGAAACAAACTTCAGGGCATGTGTTCCAATCATACTATGCAATACATGACAACAATTCCATTGCCCAGATTTTATCTTTTAATTTCAGAATTGAGATGTTCTCATCATTTTAGATACTACAAGGATTTCTGTGCTGTGTGACTGCAATGTTTGTTGAAACCCAACAGTTAATATGTAACCGGTCAATTACTGCTCAATGATTGGTCATCGAACCAGTATATTATTCTGCCCACTCACTTACTCCAGTTTCCCTTCCAACCCGTGAAAACTAAATGAAGTAATTTAACAATATTTTACTTGGCACTAGGTTGGTATTCCTCTTAGTAGAGCAAACCTGTATTTTGGCTCCTTTTTCTAGACCTGTTGCCCTGTGATTAGATCAGGACTGCAACGTGCAAACTTCTAGAGGAAAGTATAGCCAATGCAATTATATTGCTTACTGTTGAAGGTAGTTCAGGAAAAAAAAACCCTTTGAAACAACAGAACTAAGAGGATGTGGCAAAGTCCAATGGCAATGATACATCAATGGCACTGAATGATTGCTAGGAAGTTCCAGATTTAGTGATGTCCTAAGAAAGAGATCTGGTCAGAAGTGCCTCATTTTCCACAATGTTAAATAATCCATTTCAAAGTAATATGTAATGCTGAGTCATTAATAGAACAGCAGGATAACTAACTATATGCTAAGTTCAAATTGTTAGAAATTCCAGGGATCCTTCTGGAAAAGTTAGTTCAAATTTGAGTGAAGCAGATGACAACAGCACTAGTGAGGATGATATATCTATTCTTGCTCATATATGTTAATATTTAAAATAGCATTTTCAGGTTGACAGAAAAAAATAATTAATGATCAGTATGCCTGCATGAGAAAAAGGATTCCCCTCACTATTTTCCTTCTGAACAGCTGTCTCACCCTTTCCCATCTTAAATCTTATATCAATAATATAAAAGAACCTGAATAGAAAGTTATATTCTGCCAGAATGCACCTTTCCCCACTCCTTTTTTACAACAGAGATATATTTACAGCATCCTCTCCAAGAGTCACATTTTTCTATTACATTATTTATTTATGTTAATCAAATCTATATGTCTGCCCACTTATCCAACAAGAGTGAACATAAATTATAAAACATCAATAACTATAAAACACACAATAACCCTTAGAAATTTATAATACTCTATTGGCAAAATATAGTATATCTAAAGTAATAAGTAAGATTTCACTGGAACCAAAGCAATGTTTATTATTATGGGAACAAATTTCCCCTAGGTTCAAATCAAGAAATAGACCACGAGTAGTATGTGTATCTACTGTTGAAGACACTATCTTGAAGCAATGTTTCTAAAACTTTTTTCTCACAGGACCCCTTTCCACTTTAAAAAAATGATGGAGGACCTTAAAACAGCTTTTGTTTATAGGAGTTACATTTATCAATATTTGTCATATTAAAATTTAAGATTGATACAATGTTTGCAACTACTGCTTCTCACAATAGTTAGATAGGATTTTAATATTATATTATTTTTCATCATAGGCTGACAAATTTAGATTTTGCAGATCCATGTGAGGGTCTTCGATCACCCCCTAGGGGACTTCAGACCACCTTGAGAAGCATTGATCTAAAAGTCAGAATGATCAGAGGGAAAAAATTCTTTTTGTATTTCTAAAATAATATATGGAGACAGGAAATTTGTTCTCTTTGTTTAAGTTAATCAGCAACAGATAAAACAGTGGGAAATTAGGGAAATATGCACATAAAAAAGAGCTTTTTTAAAAAAATCAATAACATTTATTGTTATCTGAACGGTTGCCTAAGCAGTTTTATCTAAAATCTTAAACTGAGTTATAAAAAAGGAAACACAGAAGGGAGAAGATAAAAATATGATGCGTGAGACTGGCAAACATATATACAGAACAAATCTGAATCTTTAATATAATCTCCAAAATCAAGCAACAAAAAGAATCCATCTCAAACCATATTCAGGATTAGATTGATTTTTACCAAAACAATCACAAGAGCAAGAGATTTATCAGTAAAATGGCTGGTGAGGAATAGATGAACATAGTGAGCAGTTATTGACAGCACACTCATTTCTACCTCAAGAGATATTATGTGGAATGAGAAAGAAAAAGATTAATTTTGAAAGGGGTTAATATTACGTTATACTTTTCAAGGAGAAAAATAGATCCTTAATGTTTTGTTAAATATATTTATTCAATAGAAATATCTTTCATTTCACTAAAAAGCTTTTAATCAATTTTTATTAAACAAATCTTGTTATTATTACTAATGCATTTTCTTTGAGAGTCAGGTGAGTTGTTTTTCTTTCTTTCTATGTTCCCCTCTAATCCATTTCTTTTTCTCTGCTGGCCTATTCCTCAAAAATAATGATGTAGGCTGCCTTAATTCTAAAACTGCCAATATCTGAAAACAACTTGTATAGCAACTATAATATTAGCCCCACAACCAACAGAAGATGGATTATTGTAAACAGATCTTTAATAGCCCTAATTGCCTACTAGTCCTCTCAAAGTAAAAAGCTATTTACTGTCTTGAACAGAACACTGGATTTTTTTCTTTTGCAATATCAGTTTGTGGCATGACATCAGTGATAATATCTGAGCAAACCACCAGTGTTTAGCCAAATAATGAGAATCATTCATGTTCTTTATTTTTCTGACAATTAAGAAGGAAAAAATGTTCCACAAATGTCTGGCTTGAAAGACCTGAAAGCATATTGAAATTTAATAATAATAATAATAATAATAATAATAATAATAATAATAATAAATAAATAAATAAATGGTTTTTATCTCGGAGCAGTGGCGTAGTGAGTTCGGTGGGGGCATGCTACAGCGACAGCTCCCCATCGCCTGGTGCATTCTCACAGGGAGGGCCTCCTTGGGGTCTCGTCGGCCAGAGAGTGTCAACTGGTGACTCCCAGGGAGCGGGCCTTCTTTGTGGGCGCACCTACTCTGTGGAATCAGCTCCCCCTGGAGCTCTGGGTGGCTCCTGACCTTCACTCCTTCCGCCGTGATCTTAAAACATGGTTATTTGGCCTGGCTGGATTGGACTGAAGGGATTTAAATGTGATTTTAACAGGTTCTTATATTTGTTATATTTTATAATTGAATTTGTGTATTTATTATTGTGAGCCGCCCTGAGTCCTTTGGAGAGAGGGCGGCATACAAGCCCAAATAATAAATAAATAAATAAATAAATAAATAAATAAATAAATAAATAATAATAATAATAATAATAATAATAATAATAATAATAATACGGTGAAATGCTTTTTCTTTCTACTACAGAAATGAGCCTCTATTTGCAGAGGTTTTTTCTTTGTAAATGACTCTGGAAAGCTGCTAAGAAGCAACACTTTAAAATTATTTATGAGAAGAAAAAGCAGTTGTTTGGTCTGATCAGATCCAAATAACATATTGTACATTTTATAGTGTGAGTGTGAGTAGCACTGGATAATGTCAGCTGGGTTAATTACAAAGCTTGTTTTTCAGAGATTTATGGTTACAAAGGAGAAATATCCTTTGGACCTCAGTTTGACCCAAAAGCTATTTCTGTTTAGACTTTAATGTGGGAGTCAGTTCTCTCTACCAAGTGCCAGAGTAATTGAGTGTTTAACCACATCCTTGCCCTGGATTTATCCATGACAAGGGAAAAGCACACCACTTGACTGTTTAATTTGCAGCCGCAAAGTAACTAAATATCGTTACATACAAGCATGCATATTCAGCATGCTACTTCCTTCAGAAGTAAGCAAAATTAGGCAAAACACAAAAAGGGATAAGAAATAGTAAACCAAAGAAATTAGGCCTGAAAAAAATAAAGTAAAATAAAGCTAAATCTGCAATACTTCAAATTCATTCACTATATCTCTTATTTCTAC